TAAACAAGAGTGTTGTTAACTCCTAGTTCTACAACAAACGGTAACGCCTAAGTCTCCAATGGTCGAGCTGCAAACACCAAACTGCTGGAACTACTTGTTAACCCTACTCGTCTAAAAAACAGTTGAACAAACCTGTGTTCCCTTTTAGCCCGAACTACGTTTGCTCTAATTTCTCGTACCAGATGAGGATACGTAGGCACAAGACGCGATGTATTGGTGAGCAACCTTCCCCCCTTTCACCCGTAGTTACCCGAACTACGTCGACTCTGACTTTCTCTATTGAGAATACGTAGGCACGAAGCTGCAACTCTTTGCCGAGTCACTTCTTTTTATTTTGTCCTTAAGTCTTTAGCTGGATAGTTTCAATCACCCTTTTAGATAGACAACAATGTGGATCCCATCGAGTACGACGGACGTGAGGGGTGCTAGCACCTTCCCCTTGCATAACCGACTCCCGAACCCGAGATTTGGTTGCGATGACCAATCTTATCCCCCTTTTTCGTTAGGTTTTCTCTGAGCGTTTCCTTTCCCTCTATTGGGATAAATAACGCACAGTGGCGACTCTTCTATCATTGCCGGCCCTCGATTTTCGCAGTAGCGACAACATGTTCTCACACTCATCATCAAAATGGCTTAGTTGAACATAAACATCGTTACATTGTAGAAACTGGACTCGCTTTACTTGCACAGTCCACACTTCCCTTAAAATTCTAGGATCATGCCTTTGTAACTGCTACCTACTTGATCAATAGGCTCCCAATTCCTACTCTTGAAAACTCCTCACCTTATCTCAAACTTCTCCATAAATATCCTGATTACACACGTCTAAGAGTCTTTGGTTGTGCTTGTTTCCCTTTCCTTCGTCCCTACAATGCTCACACACTTGATTATAGGTCTAAGGAGTGTATTTTCTTAGGGTACTCCATTGTTCATAAGGGGTACAAATGCCTGGATGCCAATGGACATATCTATATTTCTAAGGATGTCCTTTTTCATGAAACAAGATTCCCCTATTCTTTTTTTATTTCTACCTTCTGCTTCCCTTCCCACTGCTTCCCATACCTCTACTGCTTCTGCTTCTTCATGGTTTATGGCAACAACAACTACTCCTACTCCTAGTTCCCTCAACTCTTCTAGTCCTACACCCTATCTTCCTCCCACCATCATGTCCTCATTCAGCACTCCTGCTGATGTTGTTTCTTCCCCTCCCAGTCCTCTTCCAAATTCTGCTGCTGTCAGCTCACCTAATACCCCTATAGCCTCATCTTCTCCTGGCCTCATTAGTTTTGACATAGCTGAACTAAGCACCATATCTCCTCCTTCCTCTACTGTAGCATCTCCTGTCAGTCCTATTTTCATCCTTTCTAACCCCTCCCAGTCTTTTATTCACCTTCTCAATACTCACATAATGCAAATAAGAGCCAAAAGTGGCATTACTCAACCAAGACTTAACCCAACCCTTTTACTTACACACATGGAACCAACTTCGGTCAGTCAGGCCTTGCCTTGGCTGTCCGACGCTGGTTTCAGGCAATGAAAGATAAATTTCAGGCTCTTTTGAAAAATCAGACATGGACTCTGGTGTATCCATCTAACTTAAGGAAGCCCATTAGTTGCAAATGGGTTTTTCGGGTCAAGGAAAATTCTGATGGCTCCATAAACAAATATAAAGCCAGGCTAATGGCCAAAGGCTTTCACCAACAAGCTGGTAGTGATTTTCAGGAAACATTTTCTCCAGTTATCAAGCCTGTTACAGTCAAGATTGTTCTCACTCTTGTTGTTACTAATGGATGGATCATTCAACAAATAGAAGTGAATAATGCATTTCTTAATGGAAATCTTGAAGAGGAAGTTTACATGCAACAACCCCCTGGGTTTGAAGCATCTGATAAGACTCTTGTGTGTAAGTTAAACAAAGTCATTTATGATCTTAAGCAGGCTCCTAGGGCCTGGTTTGACAAGCTCAAAGGAGCTTTACTGCAACATCAGTTTAAGGCCAGCAGGTGTGATCCTAGCCTGTTTTTCCTCCACACCAACAACCTTCATATTGTTGTCTTGGTCTATGCTGATGATATTATCATCACTGGAAACTCTCCATCATTTATCACTTCCTTGATTAAGAGCTTAAATGCTGTCTTCTCTCTCAAAGAACTTGGAATGTTGGATTATTTCCTAGGAATTGAGGTCTCCCATCTTTCTAATGGTTCTTTGTTTCTCTCTCAAACCAAGTATGTGAGTGAATTGTTGGCTAAAGTCAATATGCTTAAAATGGGATGCCTACTCCTATGATCTCTAGTAGCAATCTCTCAAAGGTTGGTTCTGGCAGTGTTTCTGATCCTGGTTTATACAGGTCAGTTGTTAGGGCACTGCAGTATGCAACTTTGACAAGACTAAAATTCTCTTTCCCTGTAAACAAAGTGTGTCAGTTTTTATCCAATCCTCTTGAGGAACACTGGAAGGCAGTCAAACGTATTTTGAGGTATCTAAGTGGCACTTTGTACCATGGTCTTCTTCTCCAACCCGCTCAAGTTCATCATCCTCTTTCCTTGCTTGGGTTTTGTGATGCTGATTGGGCTTCTGATCCGGATGACAGAAGGTCCACTTCTGGTGCTTGTGTTTTCCTTGGTCCCAATTTAATATCTTGGTGGTTTAAGAAGCAGCAACTGGTTGCTCGGTCAAGTGCAGAGGCCGAATACTGGAGCATGACACAGCTTGCTGCAGAGATATTATGGGTCCAATCCTTGCTAAGGGAGCTTTACTGCAAATTTCAAACTCCTAAAATTCTGTGTGATAACCTCATCCCGGTTACGCTTGCTCACAATCCAATCCTCCACAATAGAACAAAACATATGGAGTTGGATATTTTCTTTGTCAGAGAGAAGGTGCTCAGCAAAAGCCTTTTTGTAGCTCATGTACCTGCTCATGATAAGTGGGCAGATGTGTTCACCAAGCTCTTATCAGCTGTGAAATTTCTACCTCTTCGTGACAAGTTAAAAGTGGTCAACAAACAAAGCTTGATTGACACACCCTCAACTTCTAAAGGGGGATATATATATATATATATATATATATATATATATATATATATATATATATATATATATATGATATTGTGTAATCAGTTAGCTTAGTTCTGAGCCATTCAGTTATGTTGAGCTGGCATAGTTTGTTACTTTGTATGCACTATATAAGTGATTCTCTTGTAACTCATTCATTCAAAGAATAAAATATGAAATTCCTAACTACCTCTTCTAACAGATTCTGAGATTCTATCATGTAGTTCCATGGAATTTTTGAGTGATTCTCATGCTACGGGAAGATGTGCTCATGAAATGTGATGTTCTAGATATGAAAATGTTTTTGCTGTTAATATCAAACAGGACAACACCTTTTACTCTAGTTTTACATTCTAGGAAAATGCATTTTCTAAATTTATAGTCCAATTTTATTTTGTTGGATCGAAGAGTTAAGCACAAAATAAAAAACCAAAAACTTTAAAGAGTGCATATCAGGTATTTCAACTTTAAGGAACGTTTCTCCCAAGCATCAGATGCGTTTTCCATGAACACGACAGAATGTGCGATGGATGTGTCAACAAAGTTCATAATTCAGGAATAGATAAGCATGTTACAAAGATTCCAACCACACATCGAAGGATCAAAATGATTAGCTTGCATCTGAATGGTTCCATCAAGACATTCGATCTTCGTTTTGGCACCTGGAGCACGACGCGTAAACCTCGCCCATGAACGATAATTCGAACCAGTTAGAACAGGCATCATAGATACAAAGGAAGAACCTTCCCTGGAGTGAACGAAAATGGAATCGTATGATCTAAGAGAAGATCAACAGTTGGTGGTGGAGTCATCCGAGGCAGCATGATGATGGCAGAAGCAAAGGTCCAGATCAAAAGAGCAATTGATACCGTATTAGAATAAAAGCAACATATAGTTGAACAAGATAGAAGCTATTTTGAATGATTTTCAAAACGGAGTTATATTCTAGCTTATATAGCAACAAGTCACACTTTCCTTTCTAAGATAACAAACTAAAAGGAGGGAAAACGAAAATTTCAAAATCAATATCAAAAAAGGGAAAACTGATGCATTCAACACGTAATCCTTCGTATGATAAAAAGATCCAGTGCAACCATCCTATTTAACAATTCATTCCTTTAATCTGAGCTGCATGATGCCTTTGGAAACTAATGGCTTAGATTGAACAATGAGCCTTTGATATAGAAGTTTGTTGGGATATTCAATCGTGAATGAAAAAAAAAATCCTAGATTGGTCATTAGATCATTAAATTCATTTAAAAAAATTTGATAATACTCAATGGCAACGGAACAAAACAGAAGTAGACTACATAGCATTAGTTGCAAACATGTTATTATGTCATATCATTTATATTTTCTGTTACTTATATAACAATAATGCATACATTTCATTCTTTATATTTGAAATGTTGTGGAATTTGACTTTCAAGGCTCTGATTCACAACCTGGATTCCACGAAGATAAACACTAAAACTCATGAATAACGATGAAAACATGCTTACTGTGGCCTGTACCAGAAATCTAAGTGTCTTGATAACAAATACAATTTAAGCAACAACACAATGAAACTATGAAATTGTACAGTATATTAATATTGAAAAAGAATAACAAATGTTGTAATCTAACAATCTCCTCCTTTTCAGTTCAGACATGCAAGCAACTGGTTTTGCAGTCAGAAACCTATTTTCTTCAAGTGTCAACACATTTTGCCATTCAGAACTGAAACAACTGGTCTTTACAACAAAAAGCAAACAACAGTACTGCAAATTTGGTGCCAAGCAGCAACTGATTTGCTTTAAAATGGTAGCCAAAACCACCGAGAACATCTTAGACTTAAAATCCGTATGTTCTAAGATAGGTTTAATAAGGTTTGGCTATAATGAACTTTTATCTTGAATCAATGAGGACCTGAGAGGAGGGTTTGCGTCCACTAAAAACTGGAGTTCAACTAACCTGCTCTCCGATTAAATCAAGACCAACAACTAGAAAACTTATCCCTTGAAATAATAGGAAGTAGAAGTGAATTCCTTGAGCAGATAGTAAGCTTCTAACTGAGGCAGTTAACAAAATAAATGCAAGAGCAAGTTCTTTCCGGTAGAGCCGGTTTTTCTTGGTCTTTGGAGCTAACTTTGAGAGTTCAAGTTTGCTTAGTTCTTCAATGCCTGAATCTGAGGAAGATCGGTGAAGACTATGAGATCGCATTAGAGGTTCGGATTGCTTTTCGAAGGCAACCAAATCTGTCTCGGATGATCTTCCCAATTTTTTTGTAACCACCCATTCGTAAGAACTTCCAAAGCGAAATAATCCAGATATCATTGCATTAAATTTGGTTACTGACATAGTGTTCTCAAATAGAAGATAAGGTACTATAAATGGAAATGACCGTGGAGCTGGAAGAACACTTAGGAGAGACATGACTCCGGGAATGTAACAAACAACCCAGGCTGGGAGCTCGGCTTCTGGAAGGAACATGGTCAATGGAGGAATGATGCAGGGTGAACGAATAAAATGGCAGAATAAGCTTCCTTAGGAGGAAGAAAAGGAATATCAAATTAGCCTTCTTTGCCCAACTAATCTGATACAAATGGAATTCAATCAGCTATTCATAATAGTATATCCTTCTGGATGTGAAACTATTTCAACAAAAGTGAACACAAACCAGTTACCATTGCATACAATACATGTATCTAATTTATGTATAGAAACAACTATCATTAACCCTCCCTCCGCTCACTAATTAGTTAACAATCATACTATCATTGAAGCAAGTAAGCAGAAAATATTCATGTAGCATAATAGCATGAATTTGATACGATTAAATTGAAGCCTTCTTCTTATGCAAATATGCATGCCATTGCCCAAGTACGATGTCTGACAATAATAATGGTAACAAGCAACTTCATGATGTGCACATGTATTTCATTTAGCTATTCAAATCTCATCAAGACTTGCATATTATTATTGAAAGACACCTCGGGAATCAAATGCCGACTTCAAAATACTTATAAGGATTAAAATTTGGCATAGCATTCTTTAAATGAAAAATAGTAACACTAACATAAAAGTGATTTCATATTGGTATCCAGGGTTCAAAAGAATTCAACAGCTCTAAAAAGAAAACAAACGAAGAATTGCATACCTTTGAACGAAGTATATCAACAAAACACAAACGAAACAATTGCATTGGACCAGAATGCCAGCGGTGCTGTTGTTTTTTATAGGCCTCATATGTCTCTGGAAGCTCACAGAGGTACTGAAAGAAGCACAATGAACATATGAAATTAAGCCTCAAGATTTGAAATACAGTACCTTAACATCATTGAGAAAAATAAACTTCCATCCACAAAGATGAGCACGAACAGCAATGTCTATTGAAATCAACATTACTTTGAACTTTGAATTTCTGGACTTATATTACCTTGAAATAAGGTACTGTCTTCTTTAAGAAATCTGGTGTTGGCTGAAAATCAGCATCAAATGGTGGTATTCCCTTGTTACTACTTACTGATTTATAGGAGTTTTGGATGAGCCATGATTTCTGTAAAAATAGTGATGAACAATAGTAACTCTTTGCTAGTTTCTTTTGAAACTAAAACATTAGTTTCACCTGAAGAATTCTAATTACAAGATAGTATTATCATTAAATAATAATACAAACATTGAAATCGGGATTAGTTAAATGCATGCAATCATAGATGCAAGAAACTACCTTAGTGTCTTTCTCGCCAGCAGTTTTCTCTTTCCTTCCAATTTCAACACCATAGTGTTAAAGGTACCACTGCTTGAAAGAAGCAGCATTAACTTGAACAATGGCACTCTTCACAAGCGTCTGACAAGCTCATTGTTGGAAGCACTGTAAACCACATCGAGGAGACGAGTTTTACGGGTGACTGTTTCACTTGACCAGGAAAAGTTTCCAGTGTCCAATCTCAAAGCCCTCCATTTAACATTACCACCACGGACACGGATCCTCCTTACGGTCTTGTTGCCTTACGGATCAAGCAACTTGATCCGTAAGGCCACAAGACCGTAAGGAGAATCCGTGTCCGTGGTGGTAATGTTAAATGGAGGGCTTTGAGGTTGGACACTGGAAACTTTTCCTGGCCAAGTGAAACAGTCACCCGTAAAACCCGTCTCCTTGATGTGGTTTACAATGCTTCCAACAATGAGCCAACAACGAGCTTGTGCGTGGAAGAGTGCCATTGTTCAAGTGATGCTGCTTCCTACAAAGATGTTTTGTGCTTCAGTTGGAATTTTACATGAAGAAGCTCCAGAAGAAGGGCAAGGGTGCTGCTTGATGACTTTCCAAATTAGCATCTTTTAAGGGAGTTGGAATTTTACATGAAGAAGCTCCAGAAGAAGAAGGGCAAGGGGGCTGCTTGATGACTTTCCAAATTATTATTTTGCTTTATTTGTTTTAATTGAGACTAGTTAATCATTATTTTCGCTTATTTTGTTAAACTTTGTGGCGTGGCATATAGATGTATGAGTGGAAGTCACCCACCCATCATTTCTTACGTATCTAAAGCTACAACTCACAATACTCGACAGTTGCATAAAAGTAATGCAAAAAAAAGTAATGTTACCGAACGGAGTGGTTCCGTTGACCCTTGACTGTTGCGTGCAAGCTCCATTTTCAAGCTTTTCTACACTATCCATCAACAAGTCGATTAATAACGGTTTGCGGAAGTGTCGTCATCGACCTACAAAATGAAAATGATGAAAAGCCTATAACAAATGGAAATTGAATTCAACTTTAAAAATTGACATAAAACTTCTAATAAAAAAAATCAATTCTAAAAGAAATATTAAAAGCAATTGAATATAGAAAATAAAATTCTATACAAAAATGTGTACCTAAAAAATAGAATATAAAATTCTGTGTAAAAAATATGCAATATACTCTAAAAGAAAAAAAAATTAAAGTATTTACAAAAATATACAAATGAAAAAAAAAATGTAACACATAATATACAAAATATATTACAAAAAGAAATGACCAAAAAAAGAGGAAATAGAAACAGGGGTTGTACAGCATCCAAACATGGGGTGTCCACACGATTGGGCTAGGCTTGAAGCCCAAATCAAAACACATCAGACGGAGGGGGGGTGCGCAATGAGGAAACGGGCGTGAAGCTCAAAAAACAGTTGGGCCTCGCGGCCCACTAACCCGTTTGGAGGTGTCCACGAAGACCTTTCTTCTTCCTTTTTTCGTTCTGGCCAAAACCCTAGAAACCGTCCGTTTCACTTCTCATCACTTCAACCTTCTCTCAAATCCTTCTCTAACTTCCTGTTTATCACTCCATCTCTTCTCTCTCTAATCTCAAGCTTTCCTTTCTTCTTCTGTTAAGAAAATAAATCCAGATAACAAGCCACATAACTCGAAAGAAACAGGAAAATTCAGAGTTTGGATGAAGGCGCTTGGAGTTTATGATGATTCGTGCATGGACCTGGAGATTTATTGATGAAGTCGTTGAAAAACGTTGCATGTTGTTTGGTGTGGCTATGATGAGTTCCTAAAGAAATCTTAATAAAACGTTGAAGGTGGTTGAATCATATGAAGATTCTGAAAAAAAGCGTATGAAGGTTAAATGTGGCGAGGATGTGTTTGTAGATTTTGACGAATGTATGAACATCAAGATGAACGTTGTGGCTGGAGTTTGTTACAGATCTGGAAAGTTGGCATGAATCTTGGAAGAAGGTGGTTGAATCATATGAAGATTCTGAAAAAAAAGCGTACGAAGGTTGAATGTGGCCAGGATGTGTTTGTAGATTTTGACGAATGTATGAACATCAGGATGAAGGTTAGATGAAGAATCTTCAAGATGAAGATCTTTGAAGATTCGTTGTGGCTGGAGTTTGTTACAGATCTGGAAAGTTGGCATTGATGAATCTTGGAAGAAGGTGGTTGAATCATATGAAGATTCTGAAAAAAAAGCATATGAAGGTTGAATGTGGCGAGGATGTGTTTGTAGATTTTGACGAATGTATGAACATCAAGATGAAGGTTAGATGAAGATCTTTGAAGATTTGTTGTGCTGGAGTTTGTTACAGATCTGGAAAGTTGGCATGATGAAGCTTCTTGATGAATCTTGGAAGAACAGATGAAGAAATCTGGAAAAATTGGTGATGAACGGATGAATATCATGATCAAGTCTGGAGAAAGGTGAACGGATGATGAAGATTCGTATGAATCTTGATGAATATTGATGTTCTGGAAACTTGATGGATGAAGTTCTATGAACATGAATGAATTTCTGGGGAAGAAATGATGAACACGGATGAATGTTCATGAAGAACACTATGAATATTCGGAGAAATAGGGAAAAAGAAGATGAACATCGGATGAAGTTTCCGGAAAATTATCATTAATATGCGATGAAGGTTTGAAAGATCTGGAATGAGTGTTCATGATAAACAGGATAAATTTATGAGTTTTCCGGCGAAACGATGAGTTTTCCGGCGATACTTCCGGCAGCGAGTTGATGGCGTTTGATTTCTCAGGTGAAGCCAGCTAGGGTTTGCATGTGGGTGAGGTGAGGTGGCGCCTCATGGGAGAGAGAGAGTGAACGTGTCAGCACCCGTGGGGTAGCGTGTTATCCATCAATGATGAGAGAGAGTGTACAGGCTTTTATAGCCTGACACATGACGCAGACTCATGATTAGGACTGATTAGTGATTAATAAAGCTGACTTAATTAAAGTTGAACCAAGGTTAATGTAAAAGGACTTGAATTAATGAATTAAACTAAGGATTAAAACAATAATAAAGCTGAAAAACGAAAATGATACAAGCTGAATATTAAAACCTGATTAATATAAAATGCTAAAACTAATTAAAGCTACTTAATATCTTAATTAAAATCTATCGAAACTCCTCACCAAAATTAAACTTGATTAAAAAATTTAACAAATCTAAAAGAATTAATAAAACGCTAATATTTTAAAAAAATTAATTTCTAGAGAAATTATTTAAAATCTAATAAAAGCTAAAACTCTAAAATTGAGAAAATAGACCTAAAAATCTATTAATATTTTAAAAATAGAAAATGCTAATAAAAGTCTAGGAAAACTAATAAAAATTAAAACTCTAAAAATTTATTTAAAATCTAAAATATCTAAAAAAAAGAAATTAAATCTAAACATTTATTTAAAAATTTTAAATCTTAATTTCTATACTAAAAATTAAGAAATACAAATTTAAAAATTAAATCTGCGAATATAAAACGCGAGAATGTAACAAAATAAACGGTAAAAATGTGGACACCGAAATATTTTAAAAACAACAACATAGATTGAAAACACCGGGAACAACACCACTTTCAAAATAAACCTGCTTATTCGAACTGGTTTGAATCGCCTGAAACGCGAGAAAAGGGTTGTAATCCTGATAAAGTCAATCTGGCTTAAAAAATGCACAATATGCGATATGCAGGTGTAAATGCGAATGAAGCGAAACATAAGCCAAATAAC